GAGAGTGCTGGCAGGCTGGGTATCTGCGGCACCCCTCTGGGGCTGCGGCTGGGCAGCTGGCCCTGGGTTTTGAGAGCTCTCCCACCCGGACCAGGACTTGCTAAACAATAACAACCACAACAACCCAGACCCATGCTCAGCGGCCCTGTGCCAGGTGCTATTTTGTGTCCTCCCAACCACCCTAGGAAACAGCCCCGCAGCTCTTCCCATGTTACAGGTGAGACCTGAGATTCAGAGAGGTTTGGGAATTTATCCAGGGTTAGTTCGCACCCTTAACCTCTGCCCCATGCTCCCTCTCTGGGTGGGCTGGGAGGGGCAGGTAGGATTGGCGATGACCTCCCCTAGGACGTGTTTTTACAGGCCCTGGATGGGAGAGTCTAGGTTCAGGAGTTCACGTGTAGACGTGGCCCCTTCATGCTGGGGATGGCCTGTCCTAGTTCTGTGTTCCTCACCAGCCTCCCCTAGCTGGCCTTAGCAGGTGGTGAGGCTGCATGCCCTGCAGGTTGGCAAAAGTGCCCCCATTAGGGTCAGGTAAGAGGACACAGAAAGTGAGACCAGTGCCCCACTCTCTCACTAGGCACTTACGCTATCTCAAACCAATGTTGACATTCTGCAACTAACATAAACATACCACAGGGAGCTTGAAAGGGGAAGGAACAAGTAACCTATAGTCCCAGCACTCTAATACAGCAACTCTTGTTCATGTCCAGTCTTAAAAATAAGATTACTTTAACTATTGGATAGGTGAGGCCTGTTGTCTGTGCTCCGTGGCCCATTAAGCAGCGAACTGCTGTGGGTGCTGTTGTGTCACCCCGGCCTCTCTCCACCATGTTTGGGGAAGTGGGGGATGCAGGTTGGGGTGCTGAGCTCAGAGAGAGTCAGCCGTGGTCTGACCTAGGCTGTGCAGGGCTTTCCAGACACACGAGGGGCATCCCACCCCTTCCCTCCTTCCATTCAGAGCCAGTGGTTTAAGCAGACAGTGTAGGGGCTCACCACTGGTAAAGAAAGTTTGAGGGGCTCCTGGGTGGCTCAGTCAATTAAGTGTTGACTCTTGATTTCAGTTCAGATCATGATCTCACAGTTTGTGCGATCGAGCCCTGCGTCAGGCTCTGTGCTGTCAGCACAGAACCTGCTTGGGATACTCTCTTTCTCAAAATAAATAAATGCTTTCTCTCTCAAAATAAATAAATAAAACATTTTACCAAAAAGTAAAAAGGAAGTTCAAGTAGAACCATAGTCATGGCAGTAGCTCGTAGGCTTGAAGGGAAGCATCTTCTGTGGATACATCTCTCCACTCTAAGCCCAGCTTTTCCTGGTAACTACAGTGAAGTTGGTGAACTTCCTGTTGGAAATTGGTGAACTTCCTGTTGGAGAGTTGGTACAGCAGAGAATGTGTTCTGAGCCCGTGTGAGGCAGACAGCATAGGGAGCAGTGCGCTTCTCCAGGCCTGGCCCTGGTTAGTGGTGGTCTCTGACACACTCTCCTCTGGGCTCCCAGTGGGCAGGAGCTCTGGCCACCAGGGCTCCCATGGTTTTTGGCGCCCTGCAGAGAGCCAGGATATGGTTCTGGGCCAGGGCTGGGTGTGTGTCCCTGGTGTGCTCCATACCCCAGCTCTTCAGGTGCACCCTCACGGACGGCCTTGCCCCCAGTCTGCTGCTTCTCTCACAGTCAGTGTCCCAGAGCTCACTCTCAAATTTCGTGGGAGTTGTTTGACAGCAGGGCACAATGGAGCCCAAGTCTGTGCCAGGCCCTGGGTGCTGAGCTGAAGCAAGAATGGTTCTGACATTCATACCCCTCCTGATGCCCAGGTGCCCTCCCTCCCGTGGCATCCAGCAGATGCCTCTTGACTTCTCCATTCTGCTTTGTGTCAGGGTGCCTCCAGGAAGGAGCTTTCCCCACAAATGACTCTTCAGCTAGTTGAAGCTCACCTTCTTAGGAGTCAGAGCTTCAAAAAATGTCTAAAGTGAATGGAGCAACAGTAAAGGTTTATTTTGTTTTGTCTTGTTTTTATTTTATTTTATTTTATTTTATTTTATTTTATTTTATTTTATT